TACACCACGATATCCCAGTACGATTCCTTCTTCCTCTGACTCAGATATTGAGCAGTTTTATTCTAGCAGTTTGCTGGAGAGGGGAAGGAGTGTCCCCTCAGGTGTGGGGAAGAGACAAAGAGCCTTGCCCTTCCCCAGTGTCTTAGTGTGGAAGGTTGTGTACCTTTTCTGTGCTAGAGCACTGCTGATGAGGAAGGTTAAAGGCAGAGCAAGGCAGGGGTGGACATAAAGGCTTGAGCCTGTCCAGGGCAGATGTAGCCCTCGTGCACAAAGGTTTTGATATTGTGTGCATTTAGGATTTCCTTATACTGCTGTATTTTTACACTGTCTACCTTTTTTTTTTAAAGTTCTCTCTAGCTGTGGGGGCTAAAGTCCTATCACTGTTTCACCTGAACTACTTCTGCGATTGTTCTTTACCTGTTTCAGTCAAAAGGAGTTGGGTTAGTAAAATGTATTTATGCAGATTTTTTGAGCTAGCCTGGCTCACTTTCACTGAAATGATCCTAGGTCCTAGGGCATGATCCTAGAAACACCTCAGTTGTCAGACTTAGGGTACAGTAACTTCTGTAGCTGGGTGGTTGTAGGTGGGGATGGAAGTGGTTCTGGTAATATTTGCCTACAGAGTCATTCTAATGACTCTTTTTGACTGACAGTGCTTAATACAGTGATTTGAATATGAAAAATACTACTTAAATTAAGGTGTCATGAGCTTATCTGTATGCTGTATGACTTCCTGCAAATGAAATGTCAATTGACATTCTACAAATGTCATTATTTTCTTCCTGCTAGATAGTGTAAAATTACTGTTTTGACAAGGCCAACTAGTTCTTTGAAAATCAGCGTATGAACAGGCTATGGTTTGAGAGCTCTGTTTTGATCTTTGCATGTTAACATGAACTAGTAATAATTTAAATGTGCTAGAAAATACCATGGCTTCACTCTTTTAGCTTTTTAAAATGACAGTTATGATCCTTTACCTGTGCATTTCTCAAGCATGTAGTACACATTTCTTGCGCACATGAAAAGCCTCTAAGAGCAAGGAAAACAAGCAGGGGAATGTAGCAAATATTCAAATGCATTTTCTGTGTACTTTTCACTTCCAGGATTTGATTTACTCTTTGCTCTTAATGGTAATGAGTTCTGTTTCTTAGTTTTCTGATATTTCTGCTGTCATTTCTCCTTTAGATATTGAACTAAGCTGGCCTACATCTAGTCAGTGCATGGATAAAAAATACCTGAAAATCAAATTTTGTTAGCTAGCTGACTGCTGTTTGCTAGGCAGCCAGAACTAGTAATGAAGCAATGATTTGTCATTTCTTGGAAAGAGAATAACTTTTTTTGGAAGTGCTCCGATCAGTAATCCAGATCTGTACATTAATATTGTTAATTTTATTCAACCTCTGCTGTTTCTTTTAATTTATTTTCCATTCCCTGTCTTGCAGTAGAGAATTAGCATTTCCGTTCTACATTTATCACATCCAGTGTGTGAGGGCAAATATAATTACTTTCTTTTTTAATTATTTGTGTTTGACTTTTTGATACTTTGTGGCTGCTTGAGGATGTTTCTGCTTCCCGTATTTTAAAACCACATTCTCAGTGACAGTCAGCTCAGCTCCTGCCATGGATTATTCCAGCTGAGGCTGGTCAGGTTACCTTCCAGCTGTCCGCTTGGGCTGCAGTCTTTATGTAAGTTATTGCTAATTGACCATTAGTTGCATCTGGAGAAGTAATTGCTCTATTAACCATGTCTGGGCTGCTCCCTTCTGAGATCTGTGTATCCCTCTACTGCTGTCTAAACATCCTGAAGCAGGTGCTTTACCTCTTCTAATGGACAACTCATGCCTGGACATAACAGCTTAATTTTCATCTGCTTTTTGTGGTTTACACTGTTGGAAAGTCCATCTGGAATGAGCAAAGGTGGCTATTATGTAGGAGAACAAACAATAGTAAGCGGTCACCTAACTGGCACATTTGTTTTTCAGACTGCTGCTTCTTGTTAGGTAAGTGCCATCATTAAGTGTAAAAGGCACATCCTTTTTTCCTTAATGTGTAGGTGTGTTAAATTCTCCCTGTCTGTCTACAATGGGATATATTCAAGAAGAAAATTGCCATACCCTGTAAGCTTGGAAGCAAAGCTTGATGTTTTGTAATTGCCGGATATGTGTTTAGTTCTAGTGCTTCTGCAGAGTTTTTGCTTAAGCAAAACAGAATATCTTCCTATTTCCAGTTACTGTTCATCAACAAGGGAATGTTTTAGTCTAAATTTAGATGAGCTCTGTTTAAAACAGAAGAAAGCAGAAATGGATCCAAGTGCCTGATAGCGAGTATTTGTATGCAGGGAAATTAGACCAGGAGCATAGCCAGGCAATTAAATGTTCATGGAACTTATTCTGGATTTTGTGGTAATAAAAAGCTGGTACAGAGAAGCCTTTGTATGCATGTGAGCTGTCGGTCATAAATTAACTAAGATGTTTTGTTCACTGAATGTTCTTTTTGTACTTAATATTTTTGTATTAGTTGGGTATCTTTGAAAGCTTTTGAACTTGAGCTTTAGCACAGACACTGAGCTGAAGAACACTTCTATTTGCTTTGGAAAATATGTTTTAAATGCATAGGCATGGTATTAGTTTATGTCTTATTCTAAGAAATAGTTACTATGACAAAGAACTGTTAGTCCAGAGAAACCCTAGCCCTTGAAGAAAGTCTCAGATAATTCACATTTTTAGATACAGCCCGAGTTGGTTTTGATGACAGTTTCCTTTACCTTTATTGGATAGTATTGTTTGCACATGAGTACAGCATCACTATTTTGTGTATCTTTGTAAATAATGATATAATCACCAGTTTTAGCACTTAAGAGGATTCATAAGGATTTCTAGTTGCAGACTGGAGGGAGAAAGATAAACATGTCTGTAGATACATGTTATAAAAAAATCAGTGTGGTCAGTCAGAATACATTGTTTTTCAACATTTTTGGAAGTAGTTGCAAATTCTTCAGCTAATTGACTGGAATTTTGTGGAAATACTTGCTATCAGTGTAAAAAAAAAAAGAGTAGAGTTAGGGTTTGCTGTTTAAATCAGTTTTGAAAAATTTGCAAGAGTAGAGGTTGAGTGGGAGACTAATATTTGCTATAGATCTGCTTTCCTTAAAGACATTTGTAGATGCTGTGCTTGGATACACTGACTGTTGCTGCATCCCCCTACATTTTAGGGCCAGATTGTAGGACTAGTTGAGGTAAGAGATATCTATAACTCTGATTGAATTATGCATCGGTGTACTTGGCGAGTACTTTGCCTTCATCAGGAAAGAAAGGGAGTAAATGATAGCAGCTGCCTGCTGAGGAGGGTGAGAGAAGAATGGCTTTTGAATGGCTTAGAGCCAGTGAACAATAACATTCACTGAGTTCCAACCTTAGTTTTAGAATTTAGGCATATGCTTCAGTATGTTTTCAGATTTCACTGTTAAAGGGAACACTTGTATTTTATTACAGTCGCAATATATTTCCAAATATTAGTCTTAAATATGTGCAGTACTTCAAAATAAAATCAGGAATTGTTGTTTATAAAAAATTCTGCTGTGTTTCTAGCATTCTGTAAAAAAAGTATTTTGTTAGTTTGTTGTCAGTGTAAAGCATTCTTGTGCTAACAATTTTTAATTTTTGAAAGACTGCACAGAATTTAAGAGTAATGAAAATTCTGAATTGTTTCTGTCATAACCAGCTAAGAAGTGCTCAAATTCAGGTTTTTTAGAATTATCAATACCATTCTTGGCTATAATTCAAGTTACTAAGACAAGGGGTGCATTCACTTGGGTATAGGCAGATAAATTATTTTGTCAGCAGTGTGCTATTTCTCAGGAGATGCATAGGTGCCATTATTTGTAACATGAGAATTATTCATGTTGGTGTGGCATTGATAATTCATCATTTGGGAAGGAAAAGCGTGGCAGTACTTTAAAGGGGGTGGAATGAAGGTGGTTCATAGATGGTGATATAGAAGTGGAGTGTAGATTGCTAGATACAATGAACTTCCAATTTTCAGCAAAAACTACAAGACAGCACCTTATTACACTCATAATCCACATATATAGAATATTTGTCACCTAATGCAGAAAAGCAGCTTATTCAAGTAATAGCTTAAATATATGCAAGTGTTGCATTAACACACATAAGTAGTACTAAAAGCAATAGGAAGACATCACTGTTATTTAAGCCATAGTTCTACTTGTGCTGTAAATTTTGGAGGTTGGTCAGACTCTGTGTTGTTATTCTTCAATGCTTGTTTAATTTTGTCTCTGTTTTTCTAATCACAAAATTTGGGGAAGAAAAGAAAAATGCAAAGGCCATGTTAGGAAAGCCAGGGCTCACCTAGAGTCAAGACTTGCATGGGATGTCACGGACAATAAGAAGAGCTTCTACTACTCTGTTAGTAGAAGGCTGGACAAAGCTGAATGCATGGGACAGGTGATTGAGTGACAGCAGATCAGGCTGAGAATAACCTGTGTTCTTCCCTTTGGTCTTCACAGTGAGATGTCTCAGGTTGGCGTGCTTAGAGTAAGAAGAGCTACCAGCAGCAGATGAGGATTGGAGTCAGGGATTACTTGAGAGAATTCTACTCGTACAAGTCCATGGGACCACATGGGCTGCTTTTCCAAGGGTGCTGAGAGTCCTTGAGAGGCCACTCTCTATCATCTGTGAAAGGTCATGGAGATAGCTTACAGGAGGTACTCGAGGATTGGAGAAATGCTGCAGCCATCTTTAGAAAAGGGTAAAAAGAACTAACGGGGAAATCACTTCTGTTTTTTGCGTGTGGTATGGAATGTAGTTACAGAGTAATCAAAGTAAGGCAGGATATTGAGGGTCAAGCTTTAGTAACATTCATAACATTTTATGAATGTAAAGTCAGATTTGACAGATCCAAATGGAATATAATTAAAATGTGCATATTTTATCTACTTATAATTGAGCAACTGTATCAGTTTTGTGTTCACTCTTATTAAGGTCTTGGATCCAGAACAGAATCACAGTTTCACCGATCACTACTTAAATGTAGCCTTTGATCTGTCCCAAGTACTTTTTATAGCTACAGCCAACACTACAGCTACCATCCCACCTGCTCTGCTGGACAGAATGGAAATTATTCAAGTTCCAGGTAACATCACAGTGTTTTCACTTAAGTGGCTATTGCAAGCCCTCAAACAATGTTGGGGTGGTTTTCCTGAAATGAAAAGCAGTTCCTTAAGGTAAGGCTGCTGGAAATGTAGGCTGAATGGCTAGAATCCTTAATGGAGACCAGTCGGCATGCCTCCACCTGGCCTCTGTCATGGGAAGGAAATTTAGCATTGCACTTAGGAAAATTCACTTCCAGGTATATGGAAAAACAGTGATACATTCTGTAACAGTATTTTCACTAATTTCTAACTGGCTGTTGGCTTGATGCATCTTTTTAAGATTCTTTAAGAAAGGGATTTTTAAAACACTAAAATTCTATTCTTCTTGTTCTCATGAAGTTATGAATAACCACAAGGTGTAATACCAACAGCCTTTTAAATTATAGTTGGGGTTTTTAAATTTTAAATTGAATCAGATACAATTATAAATGGTAAGAAAATTGATTATATTGTAGCATATAAGCAAAAAGATTAGTAAACGTGTTTTTTCTTTTAAGGATACACACAGGAAGAAAAAATTGAAATTGCACATAGACACTTGATTCCTAAACAACTTGAACAACATGGCCTGACTCCACAGCAAATACAGATTCCACAAGTAACCACTTTGGACATAATTACCAGGTAAATCTGTTATTCATTGCTTTAAGTTTTAAGTAAATTCTTTTTCTGATAACTAGTAAATTACTTATAAAGTGATAACACAAAACATTCCTTAAGATCTCTTGTCCTTCGTAGCTTCAGATGTTTAACAATTGGTAATTTATGGAATTGCTCTTTCCTGAGCTCTGTCGGGCTCTGCTGTCTGAACCAAATCCTCCTTCCTTCTCTGGAGAATTCCCTGCTCTGGCTCTCAGAGCACAGGTCACAATCAGTTGCGTTGACGCAATTGGCAACGTGCTATGAATAAACTGAAACCCATGAAGCTTGTATTTCTGCCATGTTCAGTGTGTGAAGCCATGGTCTTGGCAGCAGACAGCCTTTATTTCAAAGAATGAAGTTTTATTTCTGTCATTTTCATAGAAAAAATGGAAATTACCATTTTGTTTCTTGTGACTTGATGGGCTACATTTGTCTAAAAATTGGACTTAGGTTAAAAATATTAAGATCTGGGTTTTTAAATAGCTTGTATTAATTAGAAGTACTTTTTTGTTGGATGTGGGAGCAAAGATACTGATCAGAACATCTTTTGGACCTGAAACTAGCTCATTTCCAGTGGAAAGCATGTATCAGTATTCAATGAAGTATATTACGACCAGGACCAGCATTTTGGCATTTAGTGAGTGTTATTGTCTGGTCTTTCTTTTTAATTCATAAACTGAAAGAAAATATTCTTTTACAGTCAGTTCCTCAACTTTCAGTGAACTTTATTTTGAGTTTTAAAATAGTTCTTCCTTTAATTTTTATGCATCAGAGAAGAGCTCAGTGCTATTGGAGCATTGCTTGGCATTTCACTAAGATGTGATACCAGGTGTTAGTCATGTCTTCTTCCCACTCAGTAGTTTGTCTTTTTTTTTTATCAGCGAACCACTATTATTTTGATAAAAGTGCATGACTTTTGTTATTCCTGTTTATTAGAGTAGCCCAAGGTCTCACTGCCTTTCACATCTCATTTTATTTGGATGTATTTTTAAAAAGAAAGTGTGTTTACATTCAAAAGAAATCTCTTGGACAAAGAATATTCACCAGTAAAACAATTGTCTCTGTGCTAGATACACTCGAGAGGCAGGAGTCCGCTCTCTGGATCGGAAGCTGGGAGCTATTTGCAGAGCAGTGGCAGTGAAAGTGGCAGAAGGACAGCACAAAGAAACAAAGCCAGATCGTGCTGAAGTGGTTGAAGGAGAAGGTGTGTATACACTTTATTAAAAGGAAACTTCTAACACGGTCACTGGGAATCTGATTTATCAACCTTCTCTCCTTCTTTATGCTTCTTCAAGGGCTCTGTTTTTAAAAAACTTTGCAAATAGAGTGACATTGTTATTGTGGGTGGTTCAAATAGCGCTGAATTATGGCTTGGGACTTGTAGAGTAATTTCAGCCTGCCAGGTTGGTAATTGAGAAGCATGGTGGATCTGTTTCGTATCTTAGGTATGCAATTATGATTTGTGTATGTTTTTATGTCTTCCTAGGCTTTTTTAATGCAAAACTTTCACTTTTTTTTTCTTTAATAAAGACTAAGCATGGCTTTAGTTACTGTATTTAAACAGTTTCTTTAACTGTGCTATGAAACAGTTTCTTTAACTGTGCTATGCATGCTCTACCAGCTCAGAACTCAATCCAGTTATTTTGTTGTACTTTAAAATAAGTATCTGCCTGAGAAGTTTGAAATTTAGAAAGGTTTAGGGGCTCTTCTTGTGTGCTTTTAAGACTGCACCTATTCTAACTCTCTTGGAGCTCTGGTAACTTGTCAGCTTCAGTAAGTCTGTTCTTGTTCCCATGTGTACAGACAATAGTGGTTTATCGTTCCCAGACATCCAAGAGACTGAATGGAAACTAAACGTAAAATTCTCAAGCATCAAAAATATGCAGGTAACTGCTTCCCCAGTGGAGGCAGACCTTTTTCTAGTCTTAAAGTAGAAAGTGGGAAGGAAGAAGTCAGACCCATTGTCCAGAACATGCAGCTGGTGACTGCTCCCTTTTTCATCCCCAGATTAATGTTCTCTTTAATAAAAATGAAGTTGAACATCCATACTGTGTTTAGTGAAACATCCCATGCAGAGCACAGAGGCTTGTGCTTTTCTACCAGCCAGTTGCTGCTGGAGGATCTCACTGCACACACCAGTTTCTGCTGAAGGTCTCAGAGTGCTCGTTGTGCTGCAAGAGCCCACAGTTCAGGTGGATGAGGAATGCAGAAGGACAGAATTCAAACCTGAAGTTGAACATCTAAAGCGTGGGTAGTCCTTAGTCTCAATAAATCTAGCAAGCAGAATGTAGGGTATTTTGCTTGTTTGTTTCTTAAAGACTGCAATGAGTCCAGTTGACACTTTCTGACAAGAAATACAGTCAGCAACTGTGTGCCAGGGGACGTCAGGAAGCAAAAGCTGCAGAATGGCTGCTTGCATTTGCTCCAGAATACTCACAAACTTAAAATACTAAACAGAACCCTCATGGTTGGATGTTATGAAAGATCCCATGACTAAGCTGACGTAGAAAATATCTTTAAATTTTAATATCTGTACAGCTAGAATAGTTCTGGACTGGTTTATAGGAGGACAAATAAGCTGACTCATTGTATGTTCCTTATTAAAATAAGGCAGCTTACAAGTCTGAATGGTGCTCCCCCTGCCCCTTTCAGAGAGTAAATCCCGGGGGAGGAAATATAACTGGTATTTGTACAAACAGTGATATTAATTAGAAGAGTGTATGAAGAATAGTTCTACCTGTAGTAAAAACTTCTGCAATTTGTCTCTGGAGATCTGTTTATCGACAGTCTTTCAGCTTTACCATGCCTTTTCCCCCCTAACTCAGTATTTCCCTTCTGAAAATTAGATCTTCTTTTACCTGGTTGAATTTTCTAAGATCATCATAATATCTGTGGAAACTGTAATATCAGAAGATCAAATTTGGTCTACAAATCAGTATTTGCTAAGGTGGAGTCAGTTTGGTTTTCTCTGAATGTTTGACTTAAAGTGAACTCTCACAGTAGCAGTGGCTGTACCTGTGTGAGTGACTGTGCAGTTTAAGTTGTCATTACAACATTAAAAGGAAGAGCTTTTAAGGCATATTTATTTATGCTTTCCATTTATATTATGTGCTTCCTGCCTACCTTGTCTGTACTGGATTTTTTTGAAGTCAGACCCTGAGTTTGTCGATACCTCTGTGATACCTGAACTTGCTCTTGAACCCGAACACTGAGCCTTTGGGCCGTGGTGGCCAGGCTTACTGATGTCAGGCAACATCAGGTGTCTTTGCTGCTGTCACTTTTTTGATAGTAATTTTGACAAATCATATTTATAAAGTATTTCTTTGCACTGAAGGGTAGCTATGTCTAAAATGTGCTCAAAAGGATTAACGTGATTGCTAAATAAAAAGAAGTGTCATTCTGCTCTTTAAGCCTTCTGATAAAATAAATGAAAAGTGGGTTCAGAGCACAACTAAAAGAACTAACTAAAAGAAGAAATGTTTTACTATTAAAGCAAAGAACAAAAAGGAACTGTATTAGACATCTCGATCCAGTGAAAGAGGCATTTACAATGTTAAAATTAGCACTGTACTTGCAGCTCAGGTATTTACACTGTTAAAATTATACACTGTTAAAATTAGTACCGGACTCGCAATTTACCAAAGTCAAGTGAAAACAGCCAGAAAAGTGCTTCAAAAGAAGGCAAAATGCTGGCGGTTTTGGTTGATGCACAATTTGGAGCAAGCCCAGAAGAAATGAGCTGTGAAGAGTTGCCTTTGTATTTCGGGAATTGAAACTGTCCATAAGAAAGAGCTGTATTAATCAAAGGGAGTCCAAGAGAGAGGTGTCTCTATAGTTCAGCTTTGCTATTATGAAGACATATATAGAATAGTGCAGTTTGCAAAACATGTTTTATTTTGTACTAATAATGTGCTTACACCCTGGTGTATTTTTAGGAGAATACGTCACTCGTTGGAAGTGTATAAGAATAGGACACTTTTAAAAAATATTTTTGTTTAGTTTTCATTCAGTCTGTTGGAAACAACCAAGTATTTAAAACAAAACCCTGAATACTTGCAAGTTGATGCAAATAATGGGATTCGTAGCCTAAATTTATTTCTTTGGAATTCTTTTTTTTCCTGTTGATTAGTGGACATTTGTGCAGTTGTGCATAGTGATGATGAATTTTTATTTCATATAATAAATGACTCTGGCAGAATAGTTAATCAAATTGCTGTCTCTTAATAGTTTCACTTATAATTATTTATTGGGGTTTTTTTCTTTATCTGTATAGAAAGACCTATAATTCATTTTTGCTTTACACGTTTGTCAGTGGGATTGAGACTCTACAGTTAGTGCCATCACATGTCATGAGCTGTGAATATGAGAGGGCGAGCTACAGCCTTGCCTTCTAGTTTCTAACTTGATAAAGCATAATTTGTATATGATTTGTGGCATATCAGAATAGTAACATGGTACCTATTGTGTTTATTCAGCCGAGCGCCTTCTGGCTTGTGGGTTTGTAATAAAAGTTAAATAGAAGCACAAAAATTCCATCGTTACATTGATTAAATCAGACGATTAACTCAGTGGAGCATCTGTTTTCAAGGCTTTTGTAAACATCAGGCTTTTGACACTGTTTGATAGTAGGCTCTAAAAGCAGAGGATACCTGCCATAGCTGAACTGACACTGGGAGATCTGCCGTCAGGCCGTGTTTAGCACTTTCCAAAAATGCCTGACTGAAATACAGTGGCAGCTTTGTATTGCCTCCCTCGCTCCTTTGACTCCTGAACTTTATGGTGAAGTTGGCAAGTGGAGGAGTGTTAGTTTGCGTCAGTCGTTGAATTTGTACAGTGAACTTCTGCAAAAGCAAATGGAGTCATTTTTCAGACCTCTCCAGGGAGTCATCCCTGTGTACAGTAACGCTATCTGATATGAAACACTATCTAAGATTTATGAGGCACTCATCTAGTCTTTGACACTAGAAGAAATTCTAGGAGTCACAAAAATATGTGAAACTCTCCTTCCTATTTTAGTGACGCTGCCTTGAGAATACAGTGCAGCAACTGTGCGCTTAAGGCATCGTATCATGGTACAACACTTGAAACCCAGAGTGAAAAATGATTTGTCCAATTCAGACTTGACAGTAAGCTTAGGACAGATAATATTTAATAACCAAAAGTGATTATATGAGGATTCTATGTTGAAACCACGGCTTTGAAAATACTTAAATATTTCCATAACCCAGTAATACAATAGAGTTTGTTCTACTCCTTGTGGATGAAAAAAACACTTGGGTTTGAGTTTAAATGCAAGTTTGACTGAAGTGGTCAACACGAACTGAAACAGTCTTTACTCTCCTGCCTCAGCTTGGGTATAATGCATTTTATTCACAAAAAGTTATTATCCATGACTGGGGGTGGGTGGGTATGGCTGGTTTTTAGTATATATAAGGGCCTTAATACGGCTGGGCGACCATCACTGCTCTTGCCAAAAGTGCCCCGTTCTATGTTGTAGCCAAAACTCAGCACTTCCAGCAGCGTGGGATCTCCCGTAGCACTGGGAAATGGGTTTCTGAAATGTGATCCGCATAAATCCCGCGGTGGTATGGCTGTAGGAATTCCAGTCTGAGCTCAGCTGTGCCGGCGTTAGTGTACTTAGCAGCTCTGCACACTGGGATATGTCGTTCTTTCTAAAAATTGCTTGGAATGTCTTTTCTATTTTAGGCCCAAGAGGCATAAATGTTATGAAAAGTTGGGTTTATATACAATTCTTTTTTACCATGTAAGTTTATCTAAATATTCCTGCATGAAAACCTCAAATTCAAGTGTACTTTGTTATTCTAGATCAGAATTGGTGGAATGTAATTATTTTGTAAAAAGAGAAATTTTCTCATCCTGTGGGGAAAAATGCACGTAACATTAAATTTAAGTATACAAGGAAGTGTTAGTAGGATTGAGGTTCCAGGGAGGAGTTCCTCTCCAAAAGAAAATATTTTGGAAGTAGTATTTCCATGTATGTGGTGCATAAGGTTTAAGTTGGACAATGGAAAGTTGCTTTTAAGGTGTACTTTCATGTTATACCTGCTTTTCAATGTGGACTCTTGTCAACAAGGGCAATCCCATCTTTTCCTACCCAAATGGAGTTTTGTGGAATTGTTAGTGAGTTTGGAGGGGCTAAAAGAATTCTGGGTCTGTCTGTCGTGTGCTGGAGCATCTGCCAGTACATCAGCTGAGAAGAAAGCTTATGTTCTCATACCTCATCATAGCAATTCAGCAAATCAGAATATCTTATGTTTAAAGCTGTTTAAAAATTTTAGGGTTTTGCTACATTCTTCTATCTTGGACAGAAAGTATGGCTAGAAATCTTTGGGTTTAAGACTTATGTATTACTTAATTTAAATGTGTTTCATGAGGAGCTGAGAAATTGCCACATCTTGAGGAAGTTTTAGGCTTTTCTATTCACTCATTTCCTTTACATCTCTAGAAGAAAGTACCAGTCTTAAATTCTTGAATCTTTGTTTATGTGCTATGGAGTGCCTTTTTAGATTAAATTCTGAATTACATATAATAGTTCATTGGCAGTATGTTTTCTTAGGAGTCCATTTTCCAACAAATCCAGTATTTACATGCAAGATTTTGTATTGTTTTGGGAACTTTCAAAGGCAGATTCCTGAGGAATATTGTCGTGATCTTTGCTGATTTTACAAAAATAATCTTTTTTTGGATGGTTGGTTGGTTGTTTTGTGGGTTTTGTTTGTTTGTTTCTGGTTTGTTGGGGGCTTGGGGATTATTTTTTTATTATTATTTTTAAGTTTTTCCAATTTTTAAATGTTACAGCAGCTCAGTACCATGCTGCTTTTGTTTAAGCAGCAGGTCAGCAGGTGGTTCCTCCAGTGCAGCGTCGAGCTGTTAAGGGCACTTCTTTGGCTTTTTAGCTTATTTCTCTGACTTAATTCAAAATGTAAGGTGATTAAGCTGGTATCCTAATGAAAAATTCTGTTTCTGGAAACTTGAATTTACTGTCTTGTTTTAGATGAATTTGTCAGTTAACTGTGGTTTGTGACTGTTCATCTGGGATAGGTTGGGAATGTGTATTTGTCATCAGTAATCTTAATTGCTCACGTCTTTATACATTCTTCAGAGTCAGCACTTCTACAACGGTGATGAAAGAAGGTATGTTTTCCTTCAAAGAAAAAGCTAGTGTTTGTAATTATATTTTGGAACATCACTGCATGCCTTTATAGAAAATTAGATAATGTCAGATTTTAGGTTAGTGTTTTTAGAAAAAGTCTGTAGTTTGTTATTGTTACAGATTATAAAATGACGTCTTCTGATTCGATTATATAAACCCAAAGAAGGAGTTTCTGATTCTTTTAATAGGGCAGGTGGCCTCAAAAATTACCAGCTGATCTGTTTACGAGAAGTCTGTCTCCTTCAGGTGTGTACATAGAATTAGGTGAAATAAGAGCAAGCAGAAATGGCAAATTGTGTTTTTAGGTGCTAAAAGCAGTTGTTTTCAAACTCAGTTTTGTTTTGAAATATAAATTGTCATATCAAATTGCTCAGGTTTTGAAGATCCATAGTGTGGAAATTGCAGTCTGAGTTGCAAGAATAGCATTGCTGGATAATGTTTCCGAGACTTGCTGGTATTTATGTATTTGAATTTATTATGTACAGAAATAGTAGTTCAACAAAAATATAGAGACCTGCTTGAACAACAGGAGGGGCATCTGGCAAAGGCAGCGCTTACAGCAAAGGAATGGGATTTATGTGTGGAGCAATGAGTTGTACAATGGAAAGATTAGTGGCTGTTGGATAATAACTATTAGATTTGAGTCCTGAATGAAAGCTGAGTTGGTGTTATTATGGTAATGGGGATGTGGAATGTTTTCCTTGATACTGTATGAAGCCATTAGTGAGAATTGCACTGCAACAGAATTATCTGTAGGAGGGCCTTTATATAATTATAATTAATAAAAGGATCGTTTGTATCTTGTGAAAGGAGACATTCTCTCTTCATCCATTTTGAGAATTACTGTTGCAGCACAGAACACCTCTTAATGTTACATTAAATAGATTAGATCAGTGATTTGTGTCTTTCTAGAATTGTTTAAATTCCTGGATCTTCAATTATTGAGTATGCATTAATATGCAAAGGAAGACAGCTTGTTCATTGAAAGTAAATAAGATTTCAAAGAAAGGAAGCAACAGCAGGTAATTTCCCCAAATATGGTGCAAAAGTCTTGAAGCTCAGTATAGGTTCCTGCTTCATATAGACTGTTGCTTTAAATGTATCCTAGGCTTGTGGGTTTGGGGTGGGCAGAAATATCTTCACTGTATGTATGTGTACAATGCTTTTCCTAATGGCAGCCTCAGGGCAGGGAGTCACTGCCATAAAACTGCCACAGAACCTTAGAAACATCTGGATTGTTCAAGTATTTTTCATTTCTCTGATATGTTTCACTAAAATATTGCTTGGGGCTCTCAAGAAAATGGTAATGAGCCTTTCGCAGCTGGATCAAATTCTGTGGGGAAATGACTCCCTGCTCACATTCCCCTGTGCACGGTCGCCTCGGTCGATGTGCAGGGTAGGCCTGGTACAAATGATGTTTAAGTTCTTGAGTTTATTCATGCAAACAACCAGCTGTGTAGCCCGATTTAAAACAATTTCGAGACTTTGATATTTATATGATCCCCATTACAGTTCACTTTTGTGTGGAATACACATTTGTAGAGAAAACAGAAATTTTAAGGGAATGCTGCTAAGGAAACAATTGTATAGGTAAGAAATACAAATTTTGTATGGAATACACATTTGTAGAGAAAACAAATTTTAAGGGAATGCTGCAAAGGAAACAATTGTATAGGTAAGAAATACAAACATACTATAAATGGAGGAAGGAAAGAGCACACTTTTGAGTCCATAATTATTGCTTTACTTATGTGATCTCTTATTGATGATGCTTGAGTACATTGCATTCAAAAGTGTCAGGCTTAATTGGGTTTTATAGCCCTTCCTGAAGAGTACATCCCACCTGTAGGTATTTCTAAAAATGCCTAATGATTTCATCTTTGAATTATCTCATCCAAAAAGAAAAGAGCAGAGCCCTGCTTAAGTATAATATTTCAGGACAAAAGCTAGAGATGGAAGTTGTTATACTGAAATTGAGATTTTTTTCACTGCACAAGGACTGTATGTGCTGTGTCCTGAACTGGTGGTTGAACAAACAAGGGACATCAATTTTGATGTGAATTAACCACCTGCTCTAGTGAAAGGTGTCCCTGCCTGTGGTGGGGATTGGACTAGGTGTCTTTAAAGGTCCCCTCCCACCCAAACCGTTCTGTGATTCTATGATTGAGTAAAGCCATAATAGTCATAAGAGACAAAAATCAAAGTAGGAAAGCGTGATGTCAGAGTGTGTGCTGCACAGGCTGGTGGTGGGGGTTTGTGTGCGGGGACTGGAGAGGGGAGGACAGAGTTACAGAGCAGTAAGTGTGGGCTGCTGTGAGATGTGAGTGGCTGTAATGCAGGCTCCCTCCCATGTGGCAGAGCAAGGTATGTAAATCGGACCAAAATGTTCCTGCTTTATTTGACAGAACTTAATTATTAGTGTCAGAAGTTAAGCATTTAAATCCTTGCAGAAGGAGACCACAGAGAGCGCAGTTGTAAACGTAAGTAAAAAGAACAGTAGTTACTGAACTTCATTGTTCCCACATTCAGCTCCATATCCTATATTACTACATTAAACACGATCATCTCCTGCAAATACTGGTTTTTTGTACAAATCTGATGAAAAGTGCAAAGTCCTAAATGAACTTATTGCGGTTTGTTATTTGACCTAGTTTAAAATGCATTTAAGCAAGTGAGTTGCATCTCTCTGTCAGTGCTCTAAATTTAGTATTATCTTTCCTGAACAGTTAGAATGTGTTTAGGCTTAATAATTAAATTTGATGCCATATTATCTTTGATTTGACAAGATTTTTGTGAAAGATGGTATAAGTGCACTTTCATGAACTTTCTGAGCATTTCTTTGAATACGTTATATGTCTTTGTCAGGATTTTTTTAAATTCCTGTGTCAAGAAAGACTGCTACAAATCCTAAATGAGATTTTTCTTCTCTTAGATTGCAAGGAGCATGTCACAGAAGATGCAAAAACAGAATCCATCAGTGACACAGCTGACCTGGCTCTGCCACCTGAAATGCCGATTTTAATTGATTTCCACGCTTTAAAAGATATCCTGGGGCCACCCATGTATGAAATGGAGGTAACATCCTCATTTGTTTCTGCTTGACTGCTGTTTCTGTCTGGTGTGACTGGTTGTCTGGTTTATTGCTATTGACTGAATTTATACAATATTAACTTTTAAAAAATATATTAGTAACAGGATCGTGTTTCCTTGCATTCCACCAAGTGTTTTTTTCACCTAAAGAAGTTTTTGGTTTGTTTTGTTTTCATTCGGGGTACGTAAATAACATAATGGCCTGACTTTTTGTTAGCAGAGATGCCTGCAGCAGTGCTTAAGAATGTGGTGTTTTTTCATTTTGTAACAACTTAGCTTTTGTTTGGGGGATGTTTGGGGTGGTCTTGGGAAAGAAGCCAAAAGTAGAACCCAGGAATCCTGTCTCTGGGGCAGCTGCATTAAGGACTGTCCCACGTAGCTCCTTAAAGCCAGTCAGCATTTTTGAGAATTAAAACCACTTCAGTTTGTACCAGGAGTTCTCAGACATTCTTTAGATTAACGTGACTCTTAGCTATTAAAAATATTTTATGATCAGTCAGGCACCTCCAGCTTCCTAGGACAGGCTCTGTTCTTCAGGACCCATGTCCCAAAATGTTCTCTCTCCCCCAGCTGTGTTTTGCTACGTTCTGTGAAAATACCATCGATTAAAATAGTTTGTTGTTTGTAGTTTGGGATTCTCTTTTCACCATTTACATTGCAGTTATTCTCTGCTTTACTTCAGGTGCAGGTGAAGTGAGCGAGCGTAAGTAGTATATATAGCACTATGACAGGAACCCAGTTGCTGATGGAACACAAGTGTTTCTCTCTTTATCCTGGAGAAAAGATCTGTAAACCAGTAAGTTATGGAGAAAATAGAAATTAAGGGAAAACTTCCAGTAGAGACAAAATTCAAACTTCTTTCTGTGATAATTCTTCTCTCCTAGATGAGAGAGCCAGACTCCAATGAGATTTGGAGGATAAAAAGGGGACAAGATATGCAGGGGAAGCAGGAGAAAATAAATGAGTCAGTTTTTAGACCTGAACTGAGGTTTTTGGAGATGAAGATTTTATTATGGAAAAGATTCTTAATGAAGAAACAGAAATGAGGGAACAAGTTGAAAGAAGACAACACTATTGCTTGTGTCAGAGGGTGATGATGGTGGCAGTGGAAGCTGGGGGGAATGGGAGGGAAGGAAGATGAGGTGATCAAGAGACCATGACTCTCTTGGCTGAGTTTTTTCACATTGGTCATTTGTGTTCTGATTTATTTCTTTTTCATTTTGGAAATTAGAAAATTTGCTCTTTAGGCAAAGGACGTTATTGTAAGCAATTCATGTTCTTTCTTTTCATCCCTCTGAAGCAGCTATAATAAAATCACGCGAGACAGTTTAAGGCCATTTTAATTAAGCAGGTAGTGTGGGTATACTTTAGCTTGATTTGGAATGAACAGCCATCAGGCCATTTGTAATACTCCTATGGAAATTTTTACTAGTCTGTCTGTCTTTTTCTCACTGACTTTTAGAAACAATTACTGAAAAATAGCATGTGGGGTGTTTTTCAGAGAAAAAACTTTCTATCTGAATTTTCATTTTGAAATGTGTAATATACTTCAGACATCTGGTCTTTGGAGCTAAAGTGCTGCAAGATCATTTGGCTTTTTAGTGCTTGAATTGCAGAGGCACATAAAGCCATTGTAGTAAATTGAATTTAATATTCAAGCTGGTACTCTGATTTCTATAAACGGTGTTATTAGGTTTCATAAAGGTGGTAAAAAAAAAATATTATAAATTTGTACAAAAGTTCTGGTCACTTGCAACTGTGCTCCCAGTTCCCAGTCAAGAGTAGAATTAATTCAAATAAATATGGACTCATCACACTTTTAAAGGATTAGATTGTAGGCCAAGAAATACGCTAATATGTGACTTTCCTTAGATGTTCTGCCTAGTTTTGAACTTTTTCAGGAGTTGATTATTCATTTAAATTTGGTGGTGTGGCTGTGTTGGCAAATAATTTCTGCTATTTTGTCCGATTTCTACAGGGGTAAATAGTGCAAGTTAAATTTTTAAAGTGTGGTTCTTAATTCCAAATATACGAATACGTGAGTGCTGGGTCGGGCTTTTTTTTTGCATGAGGAGTTGCCCTGAATATGCACATAAGCATTTCATGGATCTGCTCCCCTGTGTGAGCTGAACTAAGACTGACTGAAGCTTTTGACCTGTGTATCAAAGGGTTTTTTTTAAACGTTTCCGTATTTAGCAGGCAAATTAAGTAGTGCATAAATAGAACTAGAGATGAATCCACACAGCATCAATTCCCCGAGCAGCCCAGGATTTATTTTCATGTACTATTTGCTGTAAACATTTCTCAGTGCATGCTTTATGATTCGTTCAGTGCAAATTACCCCGATAGCCACATAGCTCCTGTTTTAATGAATTGTCCCAACTGACCTATTATTCGTTTGAATTTTCTCAAGTGCCCCCAAGATTCTTTCAGAGGAAGAGCACAGCTCCTGCCTCAATGACAGGCGTTTCAGATGGGCTGCTGGTGTCTTGGCTGGTTTTGTAGTCTGCACTGTGTGTCTGTCTCTTTCTAGGCTTAAAAGCTTCACCTTTTGACCTGCATTTTGCCATTTATAATTAGCTGAAATAAAGATACAATGGAGGCAGCCACCATGTCAGTACTTGGATGACACTGAGCAAATAGAACTGAAAACATGGCATGACTTAATTGATCTGTTGTCCTTCAGGGAATACCTTAAAATAAGTGATCCATCTTTCAGCTTTTCAGTATTTTCTGCAGGGGTCTCCCAGCAGAACGGCGTGACAGAGCACTCAGCTCCTACTTGTAGGATTAATTCACTTATCACAAATAAATAATCTTACGTGTCACCCTACAGAACAAATGTTGAAATAAATCACATAGTAAGGCTTTGGAAGAATAATCTTGACAGTAGCTTGAAGTGTGAAAGATGTAATGAAATGTTTCAGCACAGCACATTTTGGGGGGAAAGGGTTTATAACATATCCAGAGTCTTTACAATGAAGTATTTCTCTTTTGTTTAGGATTTTAGCTTGGGTTTTTTTTCTTTTTTTCAACCCTTAGTTCTGCTCAGGTAACAGAAAATTATTGGCACCACAAGTGAGCCCATCGGAATTAGTCCGTATCCTCATAATGTGGGTGAAATTGAAGTGAGAACAGCTCTAGGTCAGTGAAATTACCTGAAAAGAAGGTGCAGATGCCATAAAAGAATAACTCTGTTTCATGGGACGTACACAATGTCACAGACCTGTACAAAGCACAGGTTTAGGCTTTTTTTTTTAGCTAAGAAATACCAGTCTTGTGGTGATATTTTTGGGAAATCCCCTCCCCTTAGAGGGGAGCTGCAGTGGTTTGCTGGGCAATGAATCGGAAGAGTAGACCAGGAAAAAGGTTTGTGCAGTCAGGTTGGGGTAACAAAGGTGCTAAAGGCCAGCAAGTAGCTTAGGACTGGGACTGGTTCTCATCTTCCCATTCTGAATCCGTGACTGAATAGCCTTTTGTCAATTATGCTGATTTAGAAAGTGACTCCAAAACTGCAGACTTGTGGGTGATGTCCCTTTTATCTTGGAATAACCTTAAATATTTTTTTAAAAAAGACTGCACTAAATGTTAAGACTTTAATTTTTGCGGTGTCTGGGCAGCTAAAATACATCTGACAACATGCTCACCTACTCAGATTACAGCTAAACCGTAGCTGGGTTGGGCTGATCTACAAACATTTCCAAAAAACCAAGACTGTTTATGTAGGTCAGTAACCTCTTCTTCCATCATCTGACAGACATGACCAGTCACCGGTTGATTCTAATGGTCATTTTTAATTGAAGTTGTTTAAAAAGCATAAGTTTTGATTTTTTTCTAATTTAAATTCCTCTGACTTTTTGTGAGAATAAATTATTTAGAGGTGCCAGGAGTGATTGAGTCTTGTGGAGTTCACTGTAACTCTTCATAGGTATGTTTAATGTCATAGAACGTACTGTTCTCTAAGTGTTGCATGGGGGGTTGTGTGAGTGTTTTTAGGGATTTTCAAGGGTCTTCTCTGTAGACAGCTGTCAAACCTGCCAGGGTGTTCCTACACGTCTGTCAACACGCACCAGTTACGGTGCAGGTGAGGAGGCTGCAGGAGAGGCAGTGCAGCTTCTTGTAGCCCAGCCAGAGAAGTTGGTGGCCTCTGAGGCTGCCAGTTGCTGTGAAGAATGATGGTTTAAAGGTAGTTAACACTTAACAACACACCTAGTTTCTCTTACCAGATCTCAACTTACTTGCGAAAGTAGGAGGAGGTACCTACCTAGTCTGAGGGTAGAGGAAGGAGTTTGTACTGAGGTGAGATAAATGTTGAAATGTTGAGTCTTTAGAACCATGTGGGTTTTGATGTTTAGTCATGTTTGCTATCCTCTGCCCCTGAGCTCTCAAACAGTGGAATTACTCTGTCAACTGTTCTGAGTTGATACACAGTTGGACTGGATGTTAGCACTGGTTCTAAACAAAAAAAGAAAACAAAACAAAAGACCCCAAACCAACAAACCTTGCTGATGGCTACTTTGGGCTGGTGAGGGGATGGACAGTTACTTCTGTTCATTGTACCTGAAATGTTTGGAACTGTGACTGACTGCCAAAATATACAACTGTCTCAAGTGTAAAGGAGAATGCTTCAGTGGGGGTGGATTTCAGTCTAACGTAGATGAATTGATTTTTTTTCACCTGAGTTACTAAGCAATTACTAAGGTAATCAGAGTAAGTCACTGTGTTAACCTGAGTTCCTAAGTAATTACTAAGGTAATCAGAGTAAGTCACTGTAACTACTAAAATACAGGGAACAGATACAGAAACTTACAGTAATGAAAATGAAAATGCTTGGTAAGGTGAGGTATTTTGATACTATAAAAATGAAACACTCTTATTCTGTACAATTTTCTGAAATGCTAGGAAAAGAAACAGCCATTCATGCTAAATTATGCTAATAAAAGCAAACGGCATGATGTTGTTCAAAATATGTAGATAACTGAGCGCCACGGGCGGATGCAGGAGAGGGGCTGTGTGGTGTCCTTTGCTGGGCTGTGTAGGTACCACCTGCCCCAGTTCTCCCAGCCCCACCAGCCTCTGCTGCTTGTCTCACCTGACAACTGGGGTCCAGTCTGTTCCGGCAGCTCCTGTGTCAGCACAGCTTTCCTACAGTCGGATTTAGGCTACTTTCCCTCAAACCAAGGAACAGTGATCCTGAGCAAGGGCCACATTTCATATCTTAGTCATCAAACTTAGAAGACAGCCCTTGCTCGTTCAGGAGAGCATTTGGGAAAGCATGTAATACAAAATCAGAAATTATAACAAGAAGCATGTATGTTTAATTTCATTTTGTAGGACTTCGCATGTTTTTTTTTTATTTTTTTGCTTCAATTCCCTTGCATGAGCTTGTATGTTTGTAAATGAGCTTATTTTTTTCAAAATATGCATCTCTTTTTGGCCAGTAACCAGAGGTACCAGCTGTAGAGTGAATAGTTGTTTACTCCTAGTGCATAAAGGAAGATGTTCTCTATTTGTGAAAAAAAGAAAGAGAAAATGGAGCATTAATAGTTACATGGTCTTGATTCTTTTATGGTGGGAATGGATTCCAGCCTAATGCTGAACGGAGGCCGTCAGGCTTCCCCTGCCCTTCACACCCAGCCCGTTAGCACACTCCTGGCTTCAGTATTCAAAATTATTTATAAACATTTGCAGTGAACAAAATGGGTGTGTTGTCTGGCAGTAGTTCAGGTAATGAAACCACCTTTAAAAGGCTTTTAGGTAACATTCGAGAGCAAAAGTGGCTTTTTCATACAAGTAAGAGAGTCAGGGGAAAAAATCCCCCTGGCAGCTGGATGAGGCCATGTGAGCGTTCAGTCAGGACTGACTCAATACTTCAAGTCCTTTGAAGTGAAGAGAAAGATTCTCATTGAACTTTTGGGGGTGGGGAAGGTTTCAGGAATGATACACCCAGATGTTTGCCGTTGCCTTAAGCCAAACAGCCACATCCAGCCCCTATTCTGTAACGAATGTTTACACATCCTGCAGGGTCGCTGCTGCATTATGAAAAAAGAAGAGGAGATGGATGAGACACTTGGGCTTAACTTTGGTGTTTTAATGGGTAGAGTTGTGTTGAAGGCAACTACCGAATTGGGTTTGTTTCGACCGTTCCCTAAACTCTTTCCTGTGTTATTTTCCTTCAGGTGTCGGAACGCTTGAGCCAGCCAGGGGTAGCCATAGGCTTGGCCTGGACTCCCTTAGGGGGAGAGATCATGTTTGTGGAAGCCAGTCGCATGGATGGAGAAGGTCAACTTACTTTGACGGGTCAACTGGGCGACGTCATGAAGGAGTCGGCGCATCTCGCCATTAGCTGGTTGCGCAGCAACGCAAAGAGATACCAGCTAACGAACGGTAGGGTGGGGAACCAACAAACACCACGTGGCTGTGCTGTGTCATAGAGACTGTGTGCATCCAGTGGCCTCTTACTGCTGGGACACATTAATATTGCATGGAAATTAAATGTCCTAAACCTTGACGTTATTTTCACTTTGCTGAGTATCAGTTTTACATTCAAGCTTTCCAGCAGTACGTTTGTGATGTGGAAACAGATCCACAAGTCTGTAGTTTTCCTCTAAAATTAAGACACAGCTTCTGTTAAATGTATGGTTTTGAAGTCTTAAGTTTTAATATTTTGAGCATTATGGGTTTGTGTGGCAGGTGTTGAACTGCAGCACAACAGGATGCAGCCAAGAAACTTTTACCTCTTGTTTTTTGCTTGAACCTCCCAAGAGTACTGGAACTGTGCTTTCTAGTTTGATCAGTCACCAAATACTCAAATAACTGTCCATATAATTCATTATGGAAACTTAGATACGTTAAAAATCATAAATTGAATCAGTGTATGTAAGGCAACTGGCATTGACTGCATACACATTTACCTCTAGTTTACACTGTTGTGTCCTACAGGTTAAGTAAGGTGAAAAGGTGTAAATGAGAGATTTACTTTGTAATACTGGTTAATACTGGGTTCCTGTGGAGTGCTGATTTTGTGCTATGTTCTCTGAAAATTGACATTTACGGTTTGGGACATAAAAAAACCTAAAAATTCTATTTGGAATTCCTTGGTTTCTACATTAATTCCTACTCTGAATTTCCCAGCATATGCGAGTGTGGAGCTTATTGGTTAACTTGCTCTGGTTTTGCCCAGGAGTCTGGATGTAGGAAAGCTTGTTGGCTTTTCTTTTTTGTTTTTCTAGGGCCTCTGCAACACAGTGCTGTTTTTTCAGCCTACTGTTAAAAAACAGCGCGACGACTCAGTTCTCTGGTGGGCTTTTAGCATAAAGACCGGGAACAAAATGGGTTTAGATTTTTCACATTGAAACCATTCTTTTTTTTCCTTAAGCTTCTGGAAGTTTTGATCTCCTTGACAACACTGACATCCATCTGCACTTCCCAGCTGGAGCTGTCACAAAAGATGGACCATCTGCTGGTGTTACCATAGTAACCTGTCTTGCTTCACTCTTCAGTGGGCGGCTGGTGTGTTCAGATGTAGCCATGACAGGAGAAATTACACTAAGAGGCCTTGTTCTTCCCGTAAGTATCATTTGAGAGAAGAGCTAAGTTGTATTAATTCTCCATATTCTGGATGTAAAATCTGTTTATAGGCTTTTACAAAAGCAAAGTCTCGCTGCAACCCAGGCTGTGCTGCTGCAGTTGTAAGAGGCTGATGGAAGGCAGCGCCCGCTGCAGCGCTGCGCCACCCCTCTGCTTTGCCTCTAATAATAAAGCTGCTCCTGGGGCTGGGCTCAGGGAGAGCACGTTCAATGTCCAGGTAGGAAGGAAATCTAGAAATCAAGATGGTTCCAAAATACGTATTGCACTTTCTGAACGTGCTTCCTCCAGCCATTACTGCAGAAGTATCCCCAGCTTCTTTGAAAAGCTGTTGCTTAAAGCTGACAGTAATTGAACATAGGTTACTCTTGAAGCCATCTCTAGACATCTATTTTTAGATTCTTCTTGAATTGCGTTCCTTGTATCCAGTTTGGCTGAATGCTGCTCCCAGAAAGCCTGTTCAAAGTAGGGGGGAAAAGGGAAGGTTTCAAACAAACACAGTTTTGAGTCTCAAGGGGAGCCTGGTGTAGGTGACGAAGCAGATACAGGAGTTTTATCATCTTGTGCCAAAAATGATGGACAAAGGAAGGACGAAGCTGGAAAACAGTATTTTGTTTCGTGCAGTAGAGAGTAAAGCAGAGATAAGGTGCTCAGGCAGCAGAGCAGAAGGTGCTCTGAGGGCAGTGTGGTGCTGTGGGGGTGCTCAGACTGACGGCATCGCCGGCTCCTCAAGGCTCTACTGAAAAAAATAAACACTGCGTCTGCTGCGAGTTTGCTCAGCTTCCCAAATAAACAGCCTTTAGTGCACCAGTGACCAAATTTTGCCTGTTGTTCCAGGTGGGTGCAAAGATGAGGTATCTCTAAACACTAAACCAGGTTGATCTGACTGAACTGAGTTAAGGCTATCTTTCTTAGGGAAAAAAAATCCTGAAAAGCAAACGTTTCCACTATTGATGCTCTTGTACCTGCACACCTGTATTTTTCCATTTTTTTTCCTTGTTATTAACTGTTACAGAAAGGGCACTGTAGCATATTAACATATTTCCCTCGTTAAGCATATAATGAGATAAAACTACTGCTGCATTTTTAATTGCTTTCCTAAATGATCAGGGGAGGGAGAACCTTTCATTAAAATTTAACTCCTGATGTGATTTGTTACAGTAATTACTTTACGAGATTAGTGTCGTGGGGTTGGTTTTTTTTACATCTATTTTTTTCTCCTTATTAGGTTGGGGGAATTAAAGACAAAGTCCTGGCAGCGCATCGAGCTGGGCTGAAGAGAGTTATCATTCCTCAAAGAAATGAAAAAGATCTTGAAGAAATCGCGGTGAACGTCCGGCAGGACCTGACGTTTGTGCTGGCCGGCTGCCTGGACGAGGTTCTCAACGCGGCTTTCGACGGAGGGTTTGCAGTGAAACCCAGGGTCGAGCGCCTGAACAGCAAACTTTGAGCAGACGGGCCCAGATTATGTCCCTGTCAAATTTGATAGAGAGCAATTAATATCAGCTACGTGTGAATCGAGCACAACTACGAGCTAAACTTGATTGTTTGAATGTGGGTGTAGAACCAATCAAAATAAAAATATTACTTCAGCAGTCAACCCCCTGAAACTACATTTTACAGGCATTTGCCGCTTTTTACTATTATTACCAGCAAAGAATCTTGAAAAAAAATACTCATTTCTGGGTAGATTCTGAGCTCCACGGGGAGAACACAAACTGCAGCAAACGCAGCGAGAGTCTAATCCTGGGGCTGGTACCAAAAAGCAAACTGACTTAGCGCAAGAATTTACTTACTTATTTAGGAAATAGGACTCAAATACTCATTTCTGGGTAGATTCAAGCATGAGAAAGCTGAAGCTGCTGAGAATTCCTTAGTTTATCTGGCGTGTAGGAATGTCCATGTCAGCAGCTGAGTTACATCCTACAGAGGACACACCCACCGATGGAGTAACGCGCAGTTCTGGGCTCCACGGGGAGAACACAAACTGCAGCAAACGCAGCGAGAGTCTAATCCTGGGGCTGGTACCAAAAGGCAAACTGACTTAGTGCAGGATTTTACTTACTTATTTAGGAAATAGGACTCAAGGTACTAAGGAACAGAAACATCACAGGAAAAATAAGGTTTATGAAATCTAAAAAACATGCACAGGGGTTTGACCAGCAGCAATATGCTCTAAAGTAAGTTGTTAGGTGCTTTCAGCACTCACTTCTAGTTATAAGGGGTTTGACCAGCAGCAGTATGCTCTAAAGTAAGTTGTTAGGTGCTTTCAGCACTCGCTTCTAGTTTGGAGAGGGCAATGCAGATGTTGTTTTTCAAACCTACATCCAGGAAGCAGCTCCAGAAGAACTGACAGGTACTAATTCTCCTGTGGGCAGGGAGATGCCGCCCCGGTGTTCCCAAGCTCCGAGACAGGCACAGCACACTTGAAGACTCTATGAAAAAGCCTGGTGACGTTCTGGAGGGACAAAGTGCGTGTTTTCCCTTCTTACCTGACACAAATCAACTTGATTCTGGGATGCCTACAGTCGGAGCTTAGTCTATAAAAATTAAATCCATTTAAACAATGCCAAGAAAATACTGGGTCGTTAAATTGTGAATAATTTAAGGTTTAAGAAAGTCTGTCACTATCCCCATCTTGCATCTTCCCTAGGATGTTAGTAAATAGAGAAATTTAAACTTCTGCACTGTAAGAGTTTTTCATTATTCGCATCTTCCCTAGGATGTTAGTAAATACAGAAATTCTGCACTGTAACTTCTGCACTGTAAGAGTTTTTCATTATTTTATACTAGGGTCAAGCACAAGAGAAAACCCCGGGTGTTACATTCTCTTCTTGCTCATCAATTCTGAAACAAACCCAAATGCTTATGAAATGCAAACTGTATCCATGACAAAAGCCTGTTACAGACTATAAATCAAAAATAGTGTGTTTTGCTTTCATCTCATAGAGAGCGAGCTGATTTACCTGGAACATAACAGCACTGACAGTAATAAACTGAGTGGATATTTCTGCACCTGATTTACAAACGATTTCTTCATCTAATAAAAATACAAAAACTAGTTTTGTTTCACTATTTTAAGAATTCTACTCTTAGCCATTCACTGCCAAGATCCAAGGGTAAGAGGCAACAAACAGTCTCAGAATACTTTCTGCCTCACAAAATACCTGAACACAAAAAGCACAAAGAAGCCAAGTTCCAAGGGTAAGAGGCAACAAACAGAGAGTCTCAGAATACTTTCTGCCTTACAAAATACCTGAACACAAAAAGCACAAAGAAACAAGAGAGTAAAACACCAGAAAGGTGTGATAACTTGTGTGCTGCTTTGCCTTTAATCAAAACCAGCAGGGGAAAAAGTCTCTACCAAACCAGCAACCCACAACAGCAAAGAACTTTTAGAGTCATTCCAAGGCACTAGGGATCATTCTGCTTTGCAACTGCCAGTGCCATGGACCTGATACTAAAGGCATCCCTCAGAATACACCATAAGGCCAGTGTCACAGGTAAAAAGCAAGCAGTGGTAGCTCCTCTCCTCTCTCCACAGCGTAAATCACAACGGGTAAGAGCTATCCCACTGCTGCCATTCCTGCCTCAGTCACAGCAGCTCCCAACAGCTCCCGGCCAGTACAACAGAGAACCCTTCACCTGCTGCAATTTAAAGCTGCTGCAAACAACAACTAGCAAGAAATGTCAAAACAGAACCCAAATATTACCGTCCACATGTGGCAAACATAAAAGAGCAATGAAAACCAATGGAGGCAGCGCTGGCAGACAAAGATCTACTGCATTTCATCTGTTAAAGACCAGTTTGAATACTCTTCCCCAATACAGCAAAGTAAAACGGCACTTTCTAAAATAAATAGCTTGTGTTAAGGCAATGCCAGGCTTCAATACACCATTTATTTTAGATGAGTTAGTAAATTGTACAGGTTTCTAGTACGTTTTCTTTTTCATATATAATAGAGTGTATTTAACTTATGGATCCTCAGACTCCAGAGGAGATCCCCTGAACCGAGCTGCTCGGACTTGTGAGGATCTGGGCCCAAGTACTTTGTTTACTCCTTCCATCTGATGATGGACATCAAATGCTTTATACAGAGGTGTTTTTTTTATACACCAAAAGGAGTAATGCCAGTTTACATGACCGTAAGTCAGCACACACTAGTTATGCTATAGCCTGTCACCTGTAAGGCATCACCAACTCTCTGACTACGCCTATTAGCTCCTACAGCTCATTGCAGATGCAATTTTTAATTCAGCCTTATTGTAGCCTAAATAAAACAGCCCAGCTGCTCCCTGGTCACCAGCAGGGGCCTGGGGACGCTCTCACCAGTGGCCACCTCCCCAGCCTCACCAGGGCAAACCCCACCCCAAGGAGTCACCACTGAGAGGGCCAGTCAGTGGATTTCTCTAAAAACATTCAAGGTATTAAAGCCAAGTTTCTGTCAATAGACCAGAAAGACAAACCTGAGGTAAATGTAGACAAGCTTAATGAGGTGAGAATAATTACTGAATTTAGACGACTGCAAACAATTAGTTGTATATTCATCAGGAAAAAATGCCAGATTGCAGGACTTTTCAAAGCATTTACCTGCTGTCTCAAGGTACCAGTACATCTTTTAAATTAAATCTGTGCACAGTACGAACAGCTTAAATATCAAATTTTAAGAAAAACTTTTTACTTTGACTACATGAAGCCAACTATTGCTGTAGCATTTCATTCATCCAACCCGATGTGCTTTCTGTTCCTTACCTGCAGAAGCACTTACCTCATCACGCATCAACAGAGCATCAGCAGGACTTGTCTCAACAGCCCAGCTCCTGGTAAGAAGTTAGGACAGAGCAGAGGAACTCGGCTGTATTTTAGTGTTACAGAAGCAGCTACAGCCGGGCGGCCTCCCCGCACACACACCCGCTGCCACTGCCCTTGACAGAGGTTTCTTTCAAACAGCTCCAGATGAAGCAGCTTTTCCTCTTACTCTTTTTCTGTCTCTAGGTCTGTGTTTCGTACCACACGCACCATGGACAGTCAGGGTTACATTCTGGAAGAGAGGGTTTGCCTTGTGACCTGTGTCACCTCGCTACAACCAGACACAGAAATCAGTTCCAGACACTTACTTTGGTGACAACCCAAAGAGGTGAAGACAAGAAACAGCAAGAGTATCAATGTGTCAAACTTTGAGCTAAAGCAAAAAGCAAAAGTTGGGGTTTTTTAATTTGCCAGGTATTCTTTTAATGACAAATATAAAAAGACTGAAAACATCTCATTCTGACTGCCTTTTTTTTTTTTTCCTTTTAAACAAATGGTCTGTTTTTATAATTACAAATACTGTGTAAGACAATACCTTCTTTGTACTGCAAAACCAACAAATACAAGGATGCACTCAAGTTTCTAAGCATCTCTAAATTTGAAACGTGAATTATTACTTTTTTTTGCATTCGGAAAATGCTTAATAGTTGTTCATTTTTGTTAGAAGGTAACTCAAAGTACAACAACATCTAGATCTGTTTTTAAAGGAGCTTTCTTTCCTGATACATCTTTGAAACATAATCACTCCTTTCGAGTTCAGTACATTCACAAAATAGCTCAATTAAGAACAGTATCACCAATGAATTGACTACTGGAAAGAGACAAAATTTACCAAACATACAGAAATATAACTTTTACCATAGCAATTATGCATATCAAAAGATGACACCTGTAATTAATTTTTAAAAGATACAAAAAAAAAAAAAAAAGGAGAAAAACCTGAATTACAGAAAAGAAAGTCATATTTATTTAATGAAAAACTAGAAGTTAATAAAAATTAGCAAATACACAAAAAATATACACAAACAGCAGCAATACTATGTAGTGACTTACAAAGGGGGGGCGGGAGGAGGAGGGGAAGCAGCGGCCGGAGACCGGGCCGCTCAACATGGCTTGTCAGTCAAAGGGGAGGAAAAAAACACAAACGAAAACACGAAACAGTATCCTTTTCAACAGTACAATCAATCTACAAACAAGTTTTTAGAATTATTTTACAACATTTCCTGTAGAATCAATTCTTAATACAAAAGATGCCCATTTTGGGTGTATATATATTTTCAGTGGTTTACTGTTGACTTATTTTAAATATATTAGTGTTACTACATGCAACTGCTTCCTGTAATTTAACAGCCTTTCCTCTTATTTACCTTCATATATGTCTACCCTCCATCTACCGAGTAATTTGTCTGACAGTCAAAGATGGTTACCCTACTTTCTGCTAAATTAAATGCAACGGTTTTAAACACTGGCCTGACGAGGTTCGATTGCCGTTTCAACACATGGATATAGTTACATTGATGCCTAAATTGCCATTTTCTGCAAAGAGCTGTGCGATGCTGGTGTCGAAGACTAGGCAGTCACTATTCATAATGGCTGTTGCAATTCCCTCATGAATGGACCGAGGAGTCGCTTCCCAAGTCAATCGCCGCCTGTGCCCGTTTAACTCCAGTCGATAAGCAAAGTTTTCCGCCTGCTTGCGCGTTCCTATCAGCTGTACGATCGCAAAGAACTGCTGGTGACCATCATACTTTTCCTGTTTCTCCAATACTAACATGAAATGAAAGCCAAAACAGGACTGCATCATAACCCAGTCAACAGCACCAGGAAGATTAATGTCTGTAGCGAGGAACACTATATCTTCTCCCTGAAGCGTTGTGATGGACTTGTGTTGATGCATCAGGTGGGGCATTACAGCATCCAGAGAGCCTTGCCATTTACACGAAGCGCCGGGACAGGGACAGGAGTAAGGCCTAAACTCACACAGCTCCTCGTGGTCTGCTTTCTCGGTGTGTGGCAAAGTTATCTCGCAGCCGGAAGAGGCGTATTTACACGGGAATAGTACAGAATTGGCAACTTTCTCCATAGCCAGGTTACGGATGGAGCCCAGCGGGCCTCGGCAGGTGGGACAGCACGTGAGTTTGGGGCGACAGTTGCTACAAACGAGATGGCCACTCTGACACTGCAGAATCGGTGGCAGCACATAGTCAAAGCAGACAGGACACTCAAAGAGACTAGCCAAGTCATTATTGGAGGCTGTAGTGCCAGTCAGCGCGGGCACCCTCTGCGATGGCGTGCACTTGGAAGTACCTGTAGGTAGTGCTGTGGCAGTCTGACGGCTCATTTCTGTAACGGGAGAGAGAGAGAAAACAATGAGTCTCTAAACACACCTTATTTTCCTCTGTACACAGTATTTCTCAACGTACAAAGCAGCTCCAAAATAAAATAGATACAAATTAAAACATAAAAACCCCATGTAATGCGAACTGTGTGTGCGTTACGTGTAGAACATCAGCTGTGCTGCACACAACACAACACTTGGATGACAAGCAAATTTAACAAGTGAAGGAGCTCTGCTCAGTGTTCTGAAGTGGGATTCACCTACTGGAAGCTGCAAAGGACACGAGTAAAGATATGCTAAGAATGCAACTGAAATCCTCAAAGAAGTTTGCTGTTGGTTTGGGTTTTCTTGATATTACTGCATTTATAAAATACTCCCCCCAGGTCACTTGCGTGTAACAACCAGGACAGGTCTGAGGCTGAGTTTCAAGTTGCTGTGTATTTGGTGAGATAAGACACTGGCCATTTGTAATGAAAATACGAACTTCCAGATCTGACCCTCTCAGTAATCGCGTTTGGTTCTGTTTTACCTCAAACCAGGACGTGACTGTACTTTTTTTTTTTAAATTGAAAAACAGTAGCAAGGAAAACCATAGCTAACTGTACTTTTTTTTTTTTTTTAAATCGAAAAACAGTAGCAAGGAAAACCATAGCTAAGAAAATCACTGCACTGTTTTTTTTTCCCAGGACTCTCCATTTTCATTACTCTGTTACTAGGGCCCGTGGCTTGTGAAGCGCATCCATTGCTTCAGCTTCCTAACCTAACCCATTTGTGAAGCTAGAGAAAAGAAAAGCAATTATTTTATTGAATTTCCCAAATAAGACATGAGATTCAAAAGATTAAATCCGTGAATTAATTTTAACATACAAGTACTCAACCACCTGCAGCAACTCGAAAAGGCACTGCTGCTGAAGCCTTACATTCAGTGGGGTTTACGCTGGAGCTCTGTTCCTTCAGATGTCCCAGACAGAAGCCAACAGCTGTCTGACCAACACCTCCCTCAGCATTCAACACACACAGTGAAAGTACCATGTTTCTTACCATGTTACAGACACTACACTTTGTCCTGCACCCCCCAACTCTCCTCCTTGTGCAAAAGGAACCACTAGTACTACCTGAAACAATAAACACTCTGCTTTGAAAAACTGGACCTTACCTTTGTAGGTGAAGGAAAGTTAAGTAAAATGCTACCCAAAATTGGCTTCCCTTACACAGCAAGATTCTCAACTACCCTCGAAACAATAAACACTCCGCTTTGAAAAAATGAACCTTACCTTCGTAGGTGAAGGAAAGTTAAGTAAAATGCTACCCAAAATTGGCTTCCCTTACACAGCAAGATTCTCAACCACCCTAAGGGCTTCTCTGTATGTCGTGTATGTAGAAAGCTCTCAAAATAAACCTCATCTTTAATCTCCTTGCTATTTGACATGGGAATATTAGGCAATAGGCAAGCTTCCCATATTTAGCATCATTTCACCCACAAACTTACTCATACTTGGACTAGACACCTCAAAGCAGCGCTGAGCTGCATACTGAGCATGCTTTTGCAAGACATGCACTGTTCAGGGCATGAAGCAAAGGCACTAAGAGATTCCAACACACAAAATAACTTATCCCTTGACACTCAAAAAAATAATCATAGACACGCAGTTCCAAATTCTTCTACAGAAGCACCTCTCCCCAGTCCAGAGCTAGAAAAACAGGGGTGTCAAAGTTTTGGTATTCAGTCACTGATTTTATGAGTCTCACATGCCCAGTAACAGCATCATCTCACTCCTCCAAAGTCTCTTCCTTCATCTCAGGCTTGATGGACCAGAAATATCCAGTTCCCATCTTCAGGGGAAAAAAACCCAACCATACAGTGGTTTCCAACCCAACCATACACTGGGCCTTAACTGCTACTGTAGAGATACGACAGGAATGTTTCTATCTTTTGGCCTGAATTTCCTACTGTAAGGCATTCCAGCTTAGATGAAAAGTTAAAGGTATCTGTGGCAAATCAAATAATGCCACACCAGCTCGCTGCGAGGAGATTCGAACGATAAGGCCTCTGTGACAACCGAGCACTGCTGCTGTTTCTCCCCAGCCCCCGCAGGTGGGAGGCTGGTGATGGCACACTGCAGCTCCACAGCAAACCACACTGAGAATAACTGGGCACGGGAGAACGAATTCTCATCACGCTGTTCGCTTGGAAAGAGCTCAGAAATCACATGCATACTAGTATGTAAAATTCTCAAAGTGTTTCCTTTCAAATACTTGTAAACACACACATTTCAGAAAAGTTTGTGGGCGCTTCATCTTACCTGAACCTACGGCTTCTGAGCCCGGGATCCCCAGTAACCCACAGATAACACTGGTGAAAACCACTGCGTTAGACCAGTTCCCAAGGCAGTCTGACGGGCTGGGTGAGCTCTGGTTGATTTAATTACACCTCTCGCAGCCCATTCAACAGTTAAATTAAGCAACCTACAGACTTTGCAAAAGACCTTACGCACAGAGGTGCTTCCCACTGAAGCTTTCTAAGCCACGGAAGCACTGGAGAAAAGAACCATCCAGCCTGGGACCGTTCCTGTACGTGACCAGCCTTCACACCCACCTTCCACGACTGGGAGCTCCTTCCAAAGGAGCAGGGAATGAAAAGGAGCAGGGATCTGTGACCCAGACCATTGAGACTAGCACGCAAGGAAGAAACTGGATAAAGCTATAAACTGTAATTTACCAAGCCTAAACCTGCCCAAAGCCTACATTTTCATCACTCTTGTTAACACAGAGATGAATAATCATCATGACAGAAAAGTCAGAGAAGCTCATATTTTATAACCATCTTAAATACCACAAGTTAATCACAAGTGTTAACAGCGTAATACATTTAATCCACCAAACTATCGAAAACACACAATTAAAAACCAAGTAAAATGAACTACAGAGCTGGAAATAAAGTTTAAAGATATTTTTAGTTACACAAACTTCACTACAAAACCCCCTACGTGCAGGATTTGCTCTGTTATCTTTGTTTGCACACGCTGGAAGTAAGTCTCTAAGCAACAGTGACAAATAAGGTACATGAGGTGTCATCTTCAGAAGTATTAGCTCCTACAACACAAATTATTCAACAGAATGTACAAATTTGAAAAAGTTTAACCAACAGAAAGAGTGAAAAGGGAAAAACGTGTTAAGATTTCCTAGTTCTAGATCAAGAAAACCGGCCTCCGCTGACATCAGAAGGCACGGACCTGTTGACGAACTATTCTCAAGGCGGCTCTGGGGCCGGCTGAAATCCACCGATACCGGGCTCGCCGCAGCCCCCGGGAAACCGGCTTCAGGCCCCGCACGTACCGCGACCCACGGCCAGTACCTTTCCCCTTGCGGGCTCTACTTCCCGGCAAGCAGGCGCACAGGGCTCCCTTCCAGGCGTGCAGCAACCCGCAGGCCGACCTCCCGCTCATGGGCGGCACAGACGCTCATGGCGCTTCTGCCCGGAGGAGAGGGGCCGGGGGCAGCGGCCCCGGGCCGGGACTAGGGGGGGGGCCCGATGCTCCCGGGCCCCGCGGGACCCCGCGCCGCCTTCTTACCGCTGCGGGCCCGCCCCCCCCCCATTTACGGCCGCCCACGCCCCGCATCCACCGGCTACATCCACGCTCCCATCCGCTGCCCCAAAATGGTTCCCCGAACTTCCCTCCGCCGCGCCGGGCCGGGCCGGGCCGGCCCCTCTCCGCCGGTCGCCCCGCGGGGAACCGCGTAACGGCAGCGGCGCCCGCTCCACGCCCGGCAGGTACGGGCTGAGGGACCCGAGCGCCTCCCCTAAAGAAGCTATAAAGCGATAGATTCCGTTCAAAACACTTGTGACACACGAGTTCCACCTCCCGTTCCTGCCGTTTCAAGAAAGCTGCTCAAATTAGCGTTTTCCACCGTGGGTCTATGAAGTACCCATTCCACAGGACTTTTCTCCGTTTGTATAAAGATCATTCATTCAAGCGAAAGCATAATAATCTCAAGGAAAAGTCCAGACCAACAGATTTGGAACAATGTGGCATATTTTAATATCCACATGGACTATAAAAAAAAAAATAAAAATTGGAAGAGCTTAAGGATAAAGGAGCTGGAAACCAAGCCAACCTGCCTGCACGATGCAGACGCTGGGCTCAGAAGAGCTCAGGCATTATGGAACACAGATGTAATGACGATAAGATTGTGGAAGCACAAGTTTCAGTGGAGGCAATGGGAGAGCACACTGCAATAAATTGTTTTGGTCACACAAAAAGTAAGGCTACAGCACCTGAGTAAAGAAAATTATCTTTAAAAATGCTCTCCTGCTACTTGAAATTGAAGTCTTGCTCAGGAAAGACTGTGGCAGCTTGCATCAGCACTGCAACACGTGCAAATAACAGCTAATTACCATTACCAAAAAACTACCAACTCGATACAAGGCATGCTTCACCTTTGCCCCCAGATGTGCAATATTCAACATCCCACCGGTGAAGAGTCAAGAAAGTTTCCAAGCACAACAGAAACGCTGAAGAAAACCAGCAGAGAGATGGTTTTCGAGAAACTAAGGGCGTGTTCTGAAGTGTCTGAAACTTGCCCTCGGCTTTCTGTCCTGTCCCCAAAACAAAGGCAGGAGCCCCCCGACAGGTCAGCTCACGCCAACAGGTCAGCTCACGCCGTGTGTGCCCTGTGCCACGCTGTGCCCAAAGCCAGAAAGCCTTCGAAACCCCAGACGGGCCAAAAGAATCACAGTGAGAATGGGAAGACGCAATCAGTTCTCTCAGTTTAACAAGCCCAGCGGAGGTGCAGACATAAAGAAAGCAGTTTCAAGGGAAGTTCAAAAAGATGATGTCCCTCCCGTGCCACGGAATCAACAACAGTACACGGGAACAGACTCATACCCTGGCAGCTTCTCATCTCACAGAGGTGCTCGCTTCAGACACCATTCCAGAAATCTCCTGCACTGCACTGAAACACCGGGCAGAAAGTCAAGTTAACACCACCTACTTCTCCAAAATCT